CTTAGAGGGAAGTTTATAGCTCTAAGTGCCTACATCAAAAAATCGGAAAGAACACAAATAAATGACTTAACATTACAACTCAACACACTTGAAAAGGAAAAACAAATGAAACCCAAGCCCAGCAGACAAGAAGAAATAACAAAAATCAGAGCAGAAATTAATGAAATAGAAACAAAGAAAACAATGCAAAGAATCAACGAATCCAAGAGCTTCCTCTTTGAGAAGATAAACAAGACTGATAGACCGTGAGCCCAGTTAACCGAAAGAAAAAAAAGAGCACCTCCAAATCAGCAAAATCAGAGATGAAAAAACATCACAATAGACACCAAAGAGATCCAGAACATTATAAGGGAATACTTTAAAAACCTATATGATACTAAATTTGAAGACCTAAAAGAAATGGATGGGTACCTAAAAGTATGAGAACCACGAAAACTAAACCAAGAAGAGATTAATAGCATAAAAAGACCCATAAGAAAATTGAAACAGTAAAACAAAACCTTCCAACTAAAAAAAGCCCAGGGCTGGATGGATTTACAGCAGAATTCTACCAGACATTTAAAGAGGATCCACATCCAATACTACTTAAGTTATTCAAAAAGATAGAAATGGGGGAGAACTTCCAAATTCCTTCTATGAAGGCAGCATCGCTCTAATACCAAAGCCAGGTAAAGATACAATCCAAAAAGAAAACTATAGACCCATATCCTTAATGAACATAGATGCAAATATTCTAAACAATACTTGCAAACCGCATACAGACACACATCAAAAAGATCATCCATCATGATCAAGTTGGCTTTATTCCATAGATGCAAGGAGGTTCAATATATGTAAGTCAATAAACATCATAAGTCTTATAAATGGGCTCAAAGACAAGAACCACATGGTCATCTCAATAGATGCAGAGAAGGCCTTTGACAAAATTCAACATGCATTTATGTTTAAGTCCTAGAGGGAACTGAATGGGAGGGAACATACCTCAACATAATTAAAGCCATATATAACAAATCCACACCTAACATCATTCTAAATGGAGAAAAACTGGAAGCATTCCCATTAAAATCAGGAACCAGACAAAGCTATCCACTATCTCCACTCTTCTTTAACATAGTGCTTGAAACACTTACAAGAGCAATAAGACAAGAGAAATAAATTAAAAGAAGAATAATTGCAGATGATATGATATTATATCTAAAAGACACCAAAAATTCCACCAGAAAACTCTTAGAAATTATTAACATATTCGGCAAAGTGGAAGGTTACAAAATTAATCTACAAAAGTCTGTAGCTTTTCTATATACCAATAATGAGCAATCAGAGAAAGAGTACATGGAAACACTCCCCTTCACAGTAGCTTATACATATATAATTATCTCAGAATAAACCTGATCAAAGACATTAAAGACCTCTAAATGAAAATTTTAAATCCTTAAAGAAATTGAGGAAGACATCAGAAGATGGAAGGACCTCCCATGCTCATGGATTGGAAGAAATAATATTGTGAAAATGACCATCCTACCAAAAGCCATTTATAGGTTCAATGCAATGCCAATCAAAATCCCCATGACATTTTTCATAGAACTGGAAAAAACCATCCTAAGATCCATATGAAAGCACAAAAGACTTCATATAGCCAAAGCAACCCTGAGCACTTAGAGAAATGCTGGGGGGGATTACATTACCAGATATTAGACTGTATTACAGAGCTGTAGTCATAAAAACAACATGGTACTGGCACAGAAATAGGCCCATAGAATAATGGAACAAAATTGAAAACCCACATATGAGTACATTCAATTTCAGCCTCCTGATATTTGATAAAGGGGCCAAGAACATTCACTGGAGGAAAGAGAGCATGTTCAACAAAAGGTGCTGGCAAAACTGGATCTCCACCTGTAGAAGAATGAAACTAAACCCCTATCATTCACCCTGCACAAATGTCAGCTCCAAATGGCTCAAAGACCTCAATGTGAAGCCTGAAACTCTGAAACTATTAGAAGAAAACATTGGCAATAACCTACAA